CGAGCTTTTGGCAAGAACTCTCACCATCATCAGGAATATTACAAAGAGAAAGAATAAGAAACATTTTTTGTAAAAGATGTAAAGACATAATAGATGACAAACAATAATTAAATGATAAATGATGATTACCCATGTCACGAAAATCGCTAAAAAGTCAACGATTTCATCACAATTTGTTAGGCCGATTAATCGTGAGAGGTTATCTGGATATCATAACTGAAATAGGTGATTTTTCCCGATTTTTTTGCGATTTTTATACAAAATCGCGATTAATTAACAATGATCCAATCAATATGGATTTGCCACTACAGATCTCTCGAAAAGCCTTTCTCTGTTGTTACTAGTTGTTTATGTAGAGTACATTCAATTAATTTATTATAATTATTTTCGAAAAATAAAACCAATATACAATTCTTACATAAAAAGTACAGTATTTCGAAAAACATGAAACAATTGAATTTACAAGAGAAAATATGTACGTTATTTACAAAAAAGTTGTGTAAATCTTAACATGATCGTTTTGTTACTTAATATTATTAGTAATCAGTACTATTTTTTTACTTTTGTAGAATAAAACTTCAATTTATAATTAACATTTATGCTTGTTCACGTACGATCATTTGTTGCTCATCATCATTGGATTTGATAAATCTAATAAATAGAAAAGTTTGTTCATATATTTTAAAAGGAATTTTAATATTTTACTTGTATTTGTACTTGACTTCGGCTTCTTTTGCTGGTTGCGACCCTTGCTTAAAATACAATCATGTATTGGAGGCCAAACGATGAACATTTCTTATGAATAACCGAACTTTTTCTTGACTGCACCTTAAACAAATCGGATAAAGTATCACTGATGCCCAAGTGAGCAAAATACTGGTTAAATGACTAGTCTTTTTTCTAGTCGTGTCGCCCCATCTCGGCTAGTCTTTGTCTCAAAAAGTCCCCGTCTGGGACGAGTCTGGACTAGTCTGAATGGAAATATGTAAGGATGAAGATTAGATTCGAACTTGCCCTAGTCTCAATCTTGCTCATTCCTTGAGAAACCCTGGAAGAATCTTTCAAGATCCTCAAACTCAAGGATCTTGCCAAGTTTTATTCAAGATCTTGTCTCAAATATTTGTAATTCCTTCCTCCAGGATTTTTCAAGGTAAAACAAGATCCTGTTCAGAATTTGTTCAAGTTCCTGGTCAGATATTTTTCTGAGTTCAGATTTCAGGATCATATCAGGATTTACTTCAGATCCTGTCAGGGGTGTGGGTGTGTGGGGTTTCATTGAAGGAATGAAAAACACCCACAGCCACGAACATCCACACCCACACCCAAAAATATTCGCTAGATGTTAAAGAAAGTTGTGAGAAGTAAGGAACATTTCTAGTTATGTACGTATGTTGGTGTTAGCATTAGCGCTCTAAGAGTGATCGAATCCAGATAATGAAGAAGTAAAATCGATCATGTGTCATTTTTTTCGCTTAGGAACTGTAAATAATAAAACATCTAAATATCCCATAGCATTTACAGCACCGTTATAAATATCATCCACCAAGATTGTCTATATGATCTTGAATAGAAATTGCTTAGCTTGCTTTGGTTTAGCCCCTAAACAGTCAGTAAGCTGGACGTATACATCCACTCACACAGCCCACAAGCTCAAGTTAGTTGTTTTTCTCAATTTGAAGACATATTCATCTGCTTTGACAAGAGGCATTTCTTTATTTAAATTTATTAATGAAATAGTTGAAGATTTTGCTTGATTGACACTAGTTGAAGATGCAACAGCTTCAGCGACGACAATAGAATTTTAGCTATATATAACGCGGTAAAAAAATATGAACTCTACGGAACCTCAAGAAAAGGTTTGGTAGATGGCAAAAAGCTTGCAAATGTGTTCAAAGTTTCAAAAAAAGAATAAAAAAATACAAAGAAACTTTAAAGGATCTTACCGTGTACCCAAGTGAAGATCCTTTTTTCTTCGAAGCGTTTTTAGGTTCCCTAGACCAAAAAATAGGTTTTGTGGGAAAATACGAAACCTTTAGAGTTTCGTACTGGGTTTCCTGTAAAACTATTATATTTAATACGAAACTCTAAAGATTTCGTATTTTCCTACAAACCCTATTTTTTTGGTCTACGGAACTTAAAAAGGTTCCGAAGAAAAAAGGATCTTCACTTGGGTACACGTAAGATCCTTTAAAGTTTCTGTATATTTTTTTATTCTATTTTTGAAATGTTCAACACATTTGCAAGCTTTATGCCATCCGTCGAACCTTTTCATGGCGTTCCGTTAAGTCTCTATTTTTTTAAAATGTAGTTCTTCGCTCAACTCTTTTATTTAATTTTTATTATAAATTAGTCATCACCATTATCGCTGGCTAAAATTCTACACTAGTAGAATTATAAGAAAAGTAGCAATGAACTTTACTGGATTATAGTTACCATTTACTGGAGCCATTACTTTTTCCATGTTTTCCTATTTCAATATTCTTCCATCTCAATATTTACTTTTCGACATTTTTCTAGCAGCCTTCGAATTCAGCCTTACCTGTTGTTAGCGTCAGTAGATGGTGGTTACTGACGCTAAACGTTTATATTATGTTATCTATATTTTGAATTTCTAATTTGATTTGTTACGTAATCTCTCAACTATGATTCATCTCGTGATTATCTTTTTGTTTTTCGTTATTGCGCAGTTCTTGATGTTCTATCGTATCGATCGCTTGATACTCAATATATTTTATATAATTCGACGATAAAGTCGATTATCAAAACATGTTTAGCTCTCTATTTTTGACAGACTAAATATTAGTTCTACCATTCCTACATAATCCCCCCAAACGAGACCTAACACTTGTCGATTATGGTAATTATGGATGGTTTGTGAGTATTTTGGACGTCAAATGAGCTTTGTCGGAACTAAGAGAAAGCATGTAATCATATTTGTTGCTATTCTCAAGAAGTCAACTAGAGGATATTTTCAGCGTGAATATTTTATTGAATTAGAAAGTTGGGGAAAAGCCGGAGAAGATAAAGAGAAAAAATAATATCGAGAGTATGAGTATAGGAAGCAAACACGTTGTGAATATGAGGGAAAGCAGTTAACTAATCGATACAATTTATTGATGCTGATGATGATTGATAGCAATGTTCGATTTTCAATGTGGATGTGCGTTCGCGCTGAATTCCCTAAGGATAAAAATGTGCACTGGCTTATCATCGGAACTCTACATTAGTACAACATACCTGGTTTAAGAGCCACCGCAACCACCACCGCCACCACAACCACCACCGCCACCACCACTACTACCACAAGAAGAGCTACCACTATTATCATAAATAACCGAACTACCAGAATCACCAGAACTAGAACCACTAGAACTAGAACCACTGGAATTACTACTGCCACTGTCATAAATAATCTGATTAGGTCGCGAACTCATTTTGTTGGCGGTCACGTCACTTGTCTGTTCGTTTAAAAGCAGTTGCCTGTTAAAACACGTAGACGATATGCGGTACTGTATTTTTCACCAATAAAACGCTTTAGCTAACTTGCGCTTCTATTATATATATAATCGAAGAGAAGAGTCCACTCAGGCATGACATTGTGTCACTTCCGAGCGATTGTCATGAATAAAAAAATATATGACGTTGTTTTTTCGTTGCCTGGCCCCGGAGCCGACCACTGAGGTATGAAGGAGAATAGTTGGAAATTGCCACGAAACAGAATGTGCAACCTGTTCAAGCATGAAAATCTTCCTCTATCGTGTTAGACGCACTACCGTAATTGCACGAAAAATTGTCACAATTCACACAAGCAATTATTTTGTTGGAAATTTTCATATTGGCTGTGGAGTGTGGGTCCGGGTTGGTCTGGGTCTGCATCTGGGTGTGAGGGTGTGGGTGCGGGTGCGGGTCTATAGCTTTGTAAGAGAGATCTAAGCTGCGGGTTGCGCATGCGCTTGATTCCCGTTGGCACGCACACTGAACACCCACACTGCGAGGTCTCTCTCTAGGGCGTGGGGTGTGGGTGTGGGTGTCGGTGTATCTCTTCTAGTCAGAGGCGCACCACACCCACGCCCACACTTCTAGGCCGGATCGTTTTTTTTGACAAAACTATTCTTCTCAATAATCTATATACTA